TTAATATTATTTATTCTATGGAATGTAAATTGTGTAAATTTCTCTATAAATTATGCAACATTTTCTTCATGGGCTTATTTTATTTTATTTTATTTTGATAATTATTAAGTAAAAAAGTATTGCAGTTATTCAACAAGTTGTTTTGCATGCTAATTTTGTATTATTAAAAAAATAATATTGTTGTTTTTACATGTTTTTGCACGATTAATTTGTATTTTTTTATTTAATACACAATTTTTTTTTATTTTTATTTTTTAGTTTGTTGTCTTTTTACAAATTATGTCTATTGATTTTGTAATTTGGTAAATACACTATAAATTTGTACACGTTACAGAGATAATTGTGCAATATTTTTAATTGAATCTTTCATATATAGAGAATATAAATTCACTTATTAGATCTGGATCAACTCTTATAGGAAGACATATGACAATTGGATCGGGTGTTTCGTCAAATGCTTCAAATACATCACAAACAGTACTTCAAGAACATGTCATTTCATATATACGAGTAATGTTTTTTACACATTCAATTTTATGATATTGTATTGATTATTTTTAAATTAACAGGTTAACATAGATATCGTAAGCAAATCCCAAATAATTCTAGTATTCTTAGACCGGAAAGCATTGTGATAGATATCATATTCGACGATGAGAACGAGAGTACAACTTTTTGCGACAGTAATTTTTTCTAAGAATAAGTTTCGCACAACACGTCCTACGCCAAATGCAAGTATTGTTAATGATCTTACCCATGATGATGATCCAATTTAACTCTACCAAAAAAAAAAAAAAGTGTGGTCGTCCTAGAAAATTCGTGAGACAACCTCTCTGGTAAAATTAATTTAACATTTACGATTTGTAAATATATGTCGACTCATCCACATAATGCATCTAATTTTAGTTCATTTATCTAACATTTTCATAATACTTGGACATGGGAGATGCAAACTTCTGTTGTAGACGTTGCAGATCAAAGGTTTTGGTATTTGCTAAATTAGAATTCAAATTTGAATAACGAATAGTATTTGCAATTAAATTTTATCTGAATCTAAATATGCACATATTCAGTGCAAAATTATCAAATTTTTACTACTTAATAAAAACAACATAAGATTCAATATATTATACAAAATATAAAATTTCATTTATATATATATATATATTAATAATTTAAATTTATATTTATTTCTGCATATATTTAAATTAAAAAACTACATAAATAAAAATTTAAAGAAATGTATTTAAAATTTAACTCTTTTTATATAATATGTTTATGCGTGTAGATAATTTTTCAAAACAAGTTTCAAATTGAATCGAATAGTTCAATCATCTTAAACGAAATCAAATTCCAATAAGAAATTATAGTCAATAGTAAATATAAAACAAATTCAAATACTCAAATATTTTCATGTATCCGAATCAAGTTTGAATCACATTTTTAAGTCCATCGTAAATAAACACGATTTCAAATGCTCAAATATTTTCACGAATCTGAATCGAATAGTTGAGTATCTCTTTCAATTTTAGTTTACAACCGTATCAAGTGGCAAGTTATCAAGCACAATAAAGAATTCGGATATGGAGGTCACAAAGAGTCTGGGAGAGATACCGAAAGACCAATAAAAGAAACCATAACAATAATGAAGAAAAACCACATCAAAGCCGTGACAGCTAATTGCATGCTCACAATACACCTTACACGACAGAGCCAAAAAAAAGAAGTATCAATGACAATTTGTGTATTTGTAAAGATGCTCTCATGTTCATGTAACCATGGAATCGACAGCCAAAAATAAATGATTTACTGGCAGAGAATCATAACAAACACTTAAATAACCACAAAGTTTTGAGTTTAGGCATACAAACCATTTATATTTAACTCACTTTGGAAAATAGCACTCTTCTTAGGGTCACCAAGAAAACCATAACTTCCACACAATATCAAGGAGATCTCCGCTGCAACAATTCCAAAGCAGACAGCTGAGTACGGGGTTAGTGGTTGAAAATCTAATACAAGAAAATTTCAATCCAACTCCGAGAGAGAGAAAAAATAAAAGGTAAAGAGAGGACCTACCATTTAAACACCTTGTTCAATAAGATAATCACCAATCTTCTCAACCACCATGTTGCATTGACCAGGAGTCATGGGCTCATCATAGAGGCCAATGATCAAAGCAAGATTGGTCTTCTTGATAGTAGCTCCACCAGATCCCTAAGGAAAAAAGAGAGCCATATATTCATTTAATTATTCAAATAACTATACAAATGCAGCTTATGACAGGCTGTCAATGGAAACATGATAAAATAACGTGTTACAAAATCGAATTGCGAAAACGAATTATGAAAAAATTACACCCCCACTCCCCTCACTGCGACAAAGCTCAAACGGCGACGCAACTGTTAGGAACTCATTTCCCTTTGCTACTAAACACTGTGTTAAAAAACTACTTAATATAACAGAGAAATGTGCACATAAATGCGGCAGCTTTTTAATAAATCTGAATTGTGTGTAAATAAATTCACAATGAAATACATTTGCTCTCATTACCTTCTTCCCACGGATGACAGCACCAGGTTCACCTTGAATCACCATGTACTTGGTGCCCCCAATGTACAATCCAGTGGGGGCTAATGTACCCGGGTTATCGAAGTCATTCATGATAGCTTGTACCTCATTGGGTTTGAACTACACCAGCATCATTTCAAACATGAGGACTTGTTATTAAATAACCAAAATACAGATATCGAGCATACTTTTCTTCTAAATATACTTGATTTTAAATGGTTTGTTCTAGTCAGAATTCGTATCTATCCCATACATAAACGACTATATATCAAAACTGAGATACCGTTGATAATGAAGATTCACTAATAAACATGCAATCCATCAACAAAAAATCCAAGAAAACCATTAAATGGTTACCTTTCCGCCACAAAAATCGTATAAAATGACCAAGAAGTACTGGGCATAATTCTGTTCAATTTATCTAATATGCTTTATCCAATCAAACGCATACCAAGAATCGAAAAACTATGTAACAGAAAATAATGCATGACTTTTTATTACATCCCAGTTACACTCAAACAAAAACTTGACTAAAGCAAGCCAAGACTATATAATTCACAAAAAAGCAGCAGCAAAGATCATCTACTAGGATTCAAGAACTTTGATACTGAACAAAATACAGAAAGTACAAAAAAATAATAAAACAATCCGATTAATCAACAGATCTCCCAACCAAGATCAACCACAAACATCATCCAATCAAAGAAAACAACTATCAGATCCACACAATTGGATACAAGCTAATCGATCTCCCTAATCAGCCCACTTCAACTGATGTACCGTTTTAGGCAATAACAAGCAAACACCTATCAGATCCACAAAATTCAAACAAGTAAAACTAAAGAAAACGACCAGTTGAAGAGCTATACATCTAAATAATACCAGAAAGTGAAAAAGCAAGAACACCTGGGGGAAGTTTGAGCTCTGGGCCCAAACGCTGCCGTCGTGGCCAACGATGGCCGCGGCGGTGAGGTGGCAATTGTCGACCTCCGCCATCAAGTGGTCGTCGATGTAAGATTGCCACGACATCGTTTTGATGGTCAGAAATTCCCAGAAGCAGTGTGGTCTCTGTGGTTTGAGGAGAGGACAAGCGCAGTAGCGTGAAAACAACGGAAATGAAGTAATGTGCGGTTGACTCTCTTACAATCATCAGCTTTTATGCTTGCGTGTTTGGAGGAGTAATTATGAATATTAATATTAATATATTAGTATAACAACCGTGTATTACACATGTGCTTGCTAATAGGTGTATTATATTTTATAAATTTATCTCTGGTAGAAATGAACGATATAAATATAAATTATTTAACATATATGTGAATAGTTATCTTAATTGCAATAATGTAGTTTTTTTTGCAATTTTAAATGATTATGATCAATTTATTAAATAAAAATAATTTAAAATTAATATTATAACAATTTTATACAAAACTTAAGGGGTTTTGGTCATGCCATAAAATAATATCTAACTAATAATGATAAAATAAATACTTAATGAGCTGAAAAAATTGATAATAATAATCTCAAATAAATAGTTTGAAAAAAGTTTTGTAATAGATATTTTTATAGGTATACACTTTCATATATCATTCAGTATGACATTATGATTAGTTAGTAATAACTTGTTGATGGACGGATCCGATCAACTGTTAAAATAAAGTTTTATAAAGAATAAACTAGGAGAATGATGAAGATGTACGAGAGAACTGGGTTTTATTACGTAATTATAAAGTCGACACTTTTTTTACACTTGGAATATTCACGGTATTTATTACATATTCTAGAAAGAGAAAGTAGTAGCCAGCAGATTCAACAACCCCAAATTAAATGAAATGGGCCTTTTATTTATAATAGCCTTAAATTCGGTCGTTCATCATGTCACGTCGCACAGTGATTCTGTAGGGCAGGTCGGTGCCGCTCTGACAATTATTAAATGCGATTTGAGGTTTCTTCAATCATTACATGTCGGGCATCTAATGCATACATGAGAGACATTAAATGCTGACATATCTTTTTGTCGGGCTTGATACCATAGGGTGATAACTAGAGTGGTTTGTCCCATCGGCAATCATTAGCTGCCAAGTGGCAATATTCATCGATCCTCATGTTCTCAGGAACCTGTTTTCTGATTAGCTTCCGAGAGGTTGGCAGTTCGATCAGTCGGCCAGGATGCCGACCTAGGGGATTGTATTAGCTGCCGCTCTGATTAACTTTTCTTACCGGTCAGCTCGGCATCTCGCGTTTACTCGCTGGCCGATTCGGGTTGTGAGATCGTCTTCTTCTGGTCCCTTGTCCCAAGAACCAGGAATCCTAGACCATCCTAACTCGGGTATCAACATACAGGCCCCCGAGCTCAGACGGAAGGACTTCGGCATCCCTTCTGAGGTCGTTCTTGTGCGATCCATTCCAAGTTTGTCCGGTCGTGTTTTCATCCTTCGCTCGCGAGGTCGACATCTCTGCGATACTTGGTAAAAATCCAGTGACTCTATCGTGCATTGATGACGTTTGTTGAAGCAACATGTATTATCCGCGTAATGCCGTTATTTTCCTGTCGGTTCTGGGGAGTTGCGACGGTTCAATCCACGTGGCCTATACGTGGCGACTCCATATTCGTCCGTCCCAAGGGGTGTAACTGTTGGCAACAGTTATGTCTTTTTGAATTTTTGAAATTTAAAATCATGGACACTGTCGCGCGTTGAGTGGTCGGGTTAATCTATAAATACATACCCCCAGAAATTTTTGAATTTTCTCACCTTTGCGATTTTGTGCCATCAAGTTTTCTGAGCTAGGGTTTTTCTCGCACCTTCATTATTGTCAGCATCTCCTAAGGTCATATGCTCTGCAATTGATTATACGCTTCTCCGTCAACGAGG